GTTTGAGCTCTTTGGCTTCTCCTTGGCCTCTGTTGGTTATGAATCCTGGGGTTGTGATTTTGAATGTGCTTGATGTATTCAGGTTTCAGAGAGCCTTCAGTTTGGAGTTCTCCAGATGTGCTAACATTACAATTTCCAAAATTCCCCAATGAGATGGAGGGGAAGATTTCTGGAAGACACCAGATTGTAAAACACTGGTTCAGAAGGTGACTGTGAGGGTCTATGCATGTCACAGACAAGCCTCTTATATGTGTATTACACTTGTAGTTTAGCATAGCTGGAGAAAATGTCCAGTTTTTCCCCGGACAGGTGACTTGCTGTCTTCTGACTTCCAAGTCCAGTTGGGAATGGAGACATTTCTCCACTCTGGCAGAAGAGTGGACATCAGTATGTACTTTGCTTTTGTTAGTTAACTTTAGCAGTAAGAAACATCCTTGTCCTAAAGGACTTGAGGTTGAAATGTGGTCCACAAGAGGTTCTCGGGTAGAAACAACCGATCTAAACAACTGCAGGTCCATATATTCAGCCTTCACAAGAAAGAATTGCCAAGAGAATCACAAAGATGGATTTTTGAGAACCGATTCAAAGAAAGTGTGAAGTGACATCTTGCATTAAGCTACTTAAATATTTCAGATCCTAGATGACAAGTGGCAGATTTACTGAGTGTGCATCAGTTGTTTGTTAACATGATTGCCCTAGCTACAAACGCTATCCACTGTTTCAAGCCATTTGGGGTTTGGCTGGAACATTTCTTTCAGCCGAAGAGCATTCAGCGCTTAGTTTCAGGCCAAGAACAAATGTAATTTTTTTCCAGATTGGCCAAAATATTGCAACTGGAATGCAAAAAATAAACAGCATCGTATTTCATTTTGTTGTCATTTTTCTTCGGGCCCAGATGAGACAAATCTAGCTTTGAGCTGTTAAATCTGTCCAGATGTCATGTGCCATTATCAGAGCTGCGAATAACTGTCACCATGCTAAGGGAAGTAAAATGCCATGCTTTGATATTGATGCACGCTCAGAAAGCTTCCTGTGGTCGCCTCTGGGGATTGGAAATCTCATCCAAGTGGTTCATTTTTTAAAAAACATCGGACTTTTAAAGATTTCTTTTCTAACCACAACTTAGAGAGGCAGGTAAGACGCATTTGTACTTGGGAAGAGCATGGAATTATTTGAAAGGCCAAATATTAGAACAGAGTTCCATTTCAGTTCGGGTGTGTCTAGATTTGGGTTTCTTGGTGTGGGGAAAGAACAACAGGGCCTTTATTAAAAGGTACATTTCTGCAGAATAGAATTGGACATAGAGCCAAGTGAGCTTGTAACTCTTGATCTTTACGGACCCCGCTCAGTCTGCAAGGGAAAGCTAGTCGCGAAATGAGGCATTTGCCAAGATTTGGCCCGTGATCTGAGCAACACATTTATCTGCTCTGTAACAATCCTGTGCTCCAAAGGAGAATAATGAAAAACCTGGAACGATCTCTGACACGGTGAAATTCCACGGGGCTCTTTCTTTGACTAGTTTCATTCATGATTTTGCCATGGAAGAAAAATATTACAGCTGAGTACGAATGGCCTGTCAAAATTCCCCAACAAATCTGTGGGCTAGGGACTTCTCCTAGATTTCTCGGGGGTGGAGAAATTCTCCAACGATGGCTGAAGAGCAGGACCCCAACTGTTGAAGTGATATTTGTATGGAAAATAGGGTACATGTAGTCCTCGCTTAACGTCCATTTAGTGACCGTTCAAAGTTACAGTGGTGCTAAAAAGTGACTCATGACCAGTGCCCGAAGTTACAACTGGTGCAGCATCCCTGCAGTCACGCGATCACGATCCGGGTGCTTGGCAACCAGCTCGCACTTATGACGGTTGGAGTGTACTGGGGTCACGTGATTGCCATTTGTGACCTTCCCAGCCAGCTTCTGGCAAACAAAAGCAATGGGGAACCGCATGATTTGCTTAATGACCATGTGATTTGCTTAACAACCACGGTGATTCACTTAATGGCCACTGCAAAAAAGGTTGTAAAATCAGGTGCAGTCACATGATGATTCACTTAATGACCGCACCCCTTAGCAACCTAAACTCTGGTCCCAATTGGGGTCATTAAGCAAGGACTACCTGTAGTTGGTTCCAGCTTGATGGAAATAGGCTGTGAAAAATTTTAAACATACATTTTTATGTGTATGTTAATGAAGTATTATAGTAAAGGATAAAAAGAATATACTTTAAATTTATGGTTAATGAAGTCACTAAGTAGTTATAAAAAGCAAAATAAAAACAAAACAATTCTAAATATCCTTCCTAAAGGTCAGCTTACACTGACAAAAACACCTTTATTGTCTCTCAGAATATTTTAGCAGCATAGACGGAATTGTTTTCTCTTTCTTTAAATCCTCATTCGTTTGCTGGTGGATGCAGAGGGCTTCATCCATCTCTGCGAGTTTGCGTGCTTCGAGCATCCATAATTTTTTGCTTCCTGGCTTCTACAGCTCGAAAGAAGTCTTCCGATTCCGTGAGAATGAACTCCTTCACTTGCACATTGCTGTTTTTCTCGCCTTTTCTCCATTTTGCACACACGAAGATTAGCAGCGTGTAAAACTGCAGCCGTGCATGCCCTAGCCTCACATCACACTGAATTTCGGGTTGCATGAAACGCAACCTGGTATTAATTTACAGTTTGCACTAAATCGAACATCGCATTATTCCAATTTGCGCTAATCGCGACCTGTCTGCATGGCGAAAGACGGCATATTCGAACAGACCTCTTGCTCCTCTCAGTATGAGCAAGCGCAAACGCACCATGGCCGACCCGTGAGAATTTTTCCAGAATGCTGCTCTCTTTGAAAAGAAGTTCCCTTTTGCCAAACTCAGTTTCACCGGGTAGACAAAAGTGCAGAAGTGACTGCCTGGCTTGGGAGACAGATAATTTGCATTCAATAATGGAGCTGCAAAATCTGCAGCACGCCCTGATGGAGTGCCCAGAATCAGCGGGGGGGGGGGGTCTTTTTCAGAGCACCCCAGTGCTTACTAAGCAGGCTAGAAAACGAGGCTTATGGCCTAGAGGTAACGTTGCTGCAACCGCCGTGAAATCCCTGAGTGTAAACAAACGGTTGCAATGCACATATTTCCGAGGAATGAGTAATGCTAAGATGTCGGTAGAATTTACAGTTTCCCTGTGATTTATGGAAGCCTTCCTATTTATGTAGTCTTGCCTGTAGTTCCTGCTGCCCAGTGAGCTGTTGAAAATGTGCTTGTAAAAACAAAAAAAGGGGGGTGGGGGCCCGCAGCGAAGAGGCTTTTTCAGATGCCTTTCAGCTTTTCCCCCCCCCCTCTCTCTTTTCCTCTCTTTTCTACAGTGCTTCCCTTAAGTAAAAAAAAAACACGCCGTCCTCTCCACTTCCTGCTTCTCAGTTTTTCAACACTGCTGTTTTTCTTCTGCACAGCCCTTTGTTGTTTTGGTTTTGCATGCGTTCCCGGGGGGCATAGCTGAGTTTTGAACGTTTGGCGGAAGGGATTCACAAAGAATCGCGGCGCGCTCTTTGAGGACGGCACTCCTATTTCGGATGTGGCCGTAGCTCTCCCCCGGCCGGCCACCAGTGCGCCTACGGAGGAGTCAACCTTGAGCGAACGTAGATTCCTTTTGAAGTAAAGGAGAAGTTCCTCCTCCTCTTCTCGCAGCTCCATCGCTTCGGTTACGCTCTGCTGACGCGACACTTTTGAATCAGGATCTCACCGATTTCCCTTTTTGTGGTCCAAACAGAAGTGGGCTTCCAGCCTGGGTGGCCAAAGGGTCTTGCAGCTTGGGGAAATAGGAGGGAATCGGGGCACGGGTGGGGGCATTGGAGGGAAAGGTTACCTGTCCCGGGACATGTGAAACCAAGATCGCGTGCTGATCGCCGTTCTGTGATGCGTGGAGCAGCAATACGGTGGACTTCGTCCCTTGGCGCTTGCAGGAAGAAATGAGGGGCGATCGGTTTGGCTGGGATGAAGACTCCCCATTGGCATAGATTGAGGGTCTGGAGGAGGTTTGGCCCTCAAGGGACCTGAAGGGACGTGAGAGAGAAGGCCAGAAGAGCAGAATTGGAACCCGACACACGGACGTTCAACTGAAACTGGAAATAAAGGAGTTGGAAGTTTTCCCTGGGCAGGGAACGTTCTTTGGAAGTTGAGAGGGTTCCGCGTCTAACTTTGGTCTAAGCATTAAGTATTCAATTAATGTAAATAATGCAATAATAAATAAATAATGCGTTCATATTCCAAGTTACACTTTTAAGATGGATATCACTCTGTAGCAGCCCCCACCCCCCATACCGCTGAGGTCATTTTTGTCTGATTTCAGCTCCCCGAATTCCAGGCCAGCTGAAATTCCAACCCATCTGGAAAGCCACATTGACAGGGAAATTCAGGAGTTGCGATCAGGCCTAGCCCATGGGGCTGTTCCATCCTTTAATTGCAGTCTTTAACAGAGGGTACTTCACTTGCTGCTGCTGCTGCTGCTGCTGTTCTTGTTATCATTACTATTACTTTGAGTGCACAAACAGTGGGTTTTTCTCTGCAAGCAATCTCTCTTGTTCTGCTATTCTATCCCCACCCCTCCATTCCCCAAACTGGAATTGCGTTCGGAGGTTGCCTCTGTTGAGATAGAACAACCACCACCTTGCCCGTTCTTTATGATCCCAATAAGGAAAAAGTGCTGGCAGAAACTTGACTCGTGAGCTCTATCGTCCGTCATAACTGTCTGTCCTGATTTCGTGTTTGATGGGTACGTGGCCCACGTACAGCTGGATGACAGTACTGCTAAAGGAAGAATCTGATGTAAGCTGGGTCGAGCTGTTCCGGGAAAGTAGTCCCCCCCTCCCTTTGGCTAGCAGGTATGAGAGAGGAAGGAAGGAAGGAAAGGAAAGGAAAGGAAAGGAAAGGAAAGGAAAGGAAAGGAAAGGAAAGGAGGGAGAAAAAGAAAGGAAAAGGAAGGAAGGAAAAGAAAGAAAAAAGGAAGGAAAGAGAGAGAGAGAACAAAAGCATTTTTCCAGATATATGAATGTTGCAGCTCAGGATGAAAAATTTCTTAGCTTGATTCATATTCTGCTTCTGGAAAAATGATGTAGAAACATTGAGGAGTTCAGACCCCGATGTTGCTGGTTGAATGGTGAGGCGCCCGACAGAGAGGACATGTCTTCAGTATCATGCAGGAGTAGAACGTTTCCGACTTTAGGATTTTAGCTTGGGACAGTAGTAATGATGAAGTTTGGCTTCCAGAAAGGAAACAGGAACCTTTCAAAATGCGCGTCTTGGTTCAGCCAGAACGGTTGGCGGTGTGGCACTTCTGCCTGAAGTTTGCTCCTGCTTGTCGAGCTGGAGTTAGCTTTCTGCGCTCCGCTTTGCAGCAGGGGCAAATGCTCGCCCCGCTTGGCTCGTGGGCTGCGAAGCGGCCTTCCTCGCGAAAGACTGGGAGAAATCAACGGTTTTACAGAAGAGCGTGTTTGTTTTAAGGTCTCCACATCGGCAAGAATGCTAATCGTTGCTAATGGCGCCTCCAAAGCGCCATTGATGGATTTGGGACCGGCCCAGCCGTGGTCTGCATCGGCGCGCTCCCAATTCTGCGTCCTTTTAAATCGATGCCTGAGAGTTACCTCGAAGTTACGTTCAACCTCTTCATTTGTACCCTTTTTTTTTCTTTTTCTCAGATGTGTTATCCGATTTCCTAGCACGGTCATCAAAATCCAGTTCACATCACTCTACCATAGAGAGGAAGTGAGAGAGGAAACGGCATCTCCTCCGCTCCGACCACTCTACCCTCAGATCTCGCCGCTTAAGATCCACATTCCGGAGCCGGATCTCCGGAGCTTGGTCAGCCCCCTGCCCTCTCCCACCGGCACCATCAGGTAAGCGACGTTGTTCTCCGGCGATACGCCCTGTGCCGTGTCCACAAACGCCACTTCGCCTTTCCCAACTTTCGTATTTCCGTCGTTTTGTTTGAGAGGCAAAATTAACACCTCCCCACAGGTCTCCCTCTGATTTTCTGGAAGGGAAATGCAAGAGGCAGGTGCCACCTTGGAAATACTAGTCAGGAACGGTACCCGTCCGTCTGTCCCCTTCCAGTGAAGGAAGGCCAGTGGTTGCAAATGTTTCAGTTTGCAGGATAATCTTCAGCCTGTTGCTAATAAAACGCACGTGTTGTCTGTCCACGTTTCCCAGAAAGAGCGTTGATCTGTGAGAATTGGGGGACTTGGACTAAGATTAAGCCTATGTTTGGTTATGATCTTGGGCAACATCAGAGACTGAGCTGGTCAAAGGTCATGTGAAACTGAAACTATAAAGCCATCAGTTCTCTTCTGCCCCCCTTCTTAGAAGGAATGGGTGGAACTATGGCGCTGAAGCTGGAAGGGGAAAGGCTTCTGTGTTTTTTTGCTTTCTGTGGTGACTTCACTTTCTTCAGGAAGCAAATACCACGTGCCCCAAACTGCGATACATTGAGCCTGCCACACCCTAGATCCACTGTTGACACAGGCAGGCTTCAGCTTGCTGTTCTTGATGGGAAACAAGTCATTTCCCAACCTGGATGAGGGAGGCACTCAAGATCTCCCACCACAGAGGCAAGTGACCTAGGAAGCGTGAAGCCTCTTCTGAACTTGAGATGCTGGAGATCTCCTGGGGCGTCGGGGAGGGCTGAATCGGGCTCCATCAGCTTTGCTCCACTGGACGCTCCACTAGATGTGTTGGAATTACAATTTGCAGACTTTCCTGCTGGGTCACCTAGAGCAGGTGGCCTCATCTGATTTCATAGCCTCCTTTTTCTCCTTTTCGCCCTGGGGTGGGACACAGTGAGGCGGAAAAGGGGTGGGAAAAACAGGCCGCTGCTAACCCCGACATCTTTACTACTGTTTTGAACTGCACTTAATGGAAGTAAAAGAGATGAGGGGGATCCTCTTTTGACAGCTGCCTCGTGTTGACCTCCTAGCATCCTTCCTTTGACCCAAAGAGGATTAAGGTGGAGGTGGGGCAGAGCAGCCCCCAAGCGCCTTGTGGTTACTGAGTTTTAATAAGAGATTTTCTTTTCCTTTCCTTTCCTGTCCTCTTCTTTCCACCCCAAAATGTGTTCTGGCCCTCGGACATTGCTCCAGCCCTCGTTCTACAAGTCACTCAACGCTTTTAACTTCCACTGGACTGATGCAAAAGCCAATCTTTCTGAGCTTGGAGAAAAACCTCAAAAGAGCCCCGAGGATCTCCTCCTTTCCTGCAGCCTTTCTTCCTTGCTCATTCATTCCTTCGTTCTTGGTTCCTTGCTGCAGGGAGGAATCCCTGGGTGTATAAACATGCCCTCTTTTCTTTTTCTCAGAAGCGGATGAGATCAGTTCCCTTCTGTGCGTTGGGATCCTTGTATTATTTATAGGGTGCTCTTTAAAAGAAAAAGAGAAACGGCTTTGAAAATGCCCTCCCTCCAGTTTTCTTGGGTGTCTGGCTTGGCTAGTTATGGGGGCGCAAGGGGAGGCCACGCTGGTTGGACTGAGATGGAATTCCTCCCTTTATGCTGCCCAACAGCCTTTCCCAACGGAGGCTTGCCAGCTTGGGTTTACGGCTGTAGACCTGCGCGGGGGAAGCTACCGCGAAACGGAGCCTCCTTATTCCAAGGGACTGTACCCCGGTGCAATCTTTGCAAACCAGGGAGCGGGGGAAGACCCCGCTGGTCCAAAGTGGGAGAAGAGATGCTGGTTTCTCAGGGCGGCCGTGGCACGGGGCATCGTCCCTCCCGGCCAGGCTTCCCGTGCCGTTTTGAGGAATGCCAGCTACGCCTGCTGGAAGGCAGACGGTTTTCTCTTGGGGTTCCTCCCCCTCCTGGCCGTGCTGGGAAGCGGTTCTCATGAGATCAGGTTTCCTCTCCTCCCTTTCCCCGTCCCTCCCCCCGCCACCCCTTTGGCACCATTCGCTTGCCTAATTTGGTGCGCCCTCGCCCCGCAGCCGCCTGATTGGTCTCCGGAAAAAAGTTTTCCAGGGATCCCAAGTTCGTTTCCTTTTTGGAAATCGGAGACCGCCCCTCCCTCCCTCCTTGGCAGCCGCTTCCCAACTTTATTATGATTACTTCTTTTTTTTTTCCCCAGTTTGTTTTGTTTTGTTTAAGTTAAGGGGCAGCTTTTCCTGGAACACGATCCGGAGGCTGTTCAAAACAAATACCGTGAGGCCGTCCCTGCCCTGTGGTTCCTCGTAGCTCTCGCAAGCTTGCCTCTCCGTAAATGTCTTGCTTTTCTTTTTTTTACGCTGGGAAGTTTTCCTCTGTTTTGTTTTTAGAGGCAATCAGAACCATCTCGGTCTCCGAGGAAAGACGATCTAAACACCGCGGCCTTTGATTAAAAGCAATCTGCACAGCGCCGAAATGTGTGCAGGCTTTTGAGTTCTCTTGAACTTTTCATCCAGCCCATTGTTAACAAAAGCAGGGTCTGGAGGAACGCCACGAATCCGATGGTGGTTCTCAGTTCAGAGCCAGTCCCAACATGGAGAGGGTGGACGAGGTACCACAATGTTTCTCGACCTTGGCCACTTGAAGATAGCTGGACTTCAACTCCCAGAATTCCCCAGCCAGTAAACTGGCTGGGGAATTCTGGGAGTTGAAGTCCAGCTGTTGTAAAATTGCCAAGGTTGAGAAACACTGCTCTGGACAATATTCTTATTGGGAGGGGAGGGGACACTAGACTGGAGGTCAAGGCCATCCACAGGTCCAGACTGAGTGGATGTGGCCACCATCTTTTTTACAGGGCTTGGAGCTTTGCTGGCTGGGGAATTCTGGGAGTTGAAGTCCACATATCTTAAAGTTGCCAAGGTTGAGAAACACTGATGTACCATCTCAGGTGGTGTTGGGCTCAGGTTACACCTAATCTTTCAGAGAGAGGGATTTTCAACTCCTTGTTAATTTCCTTTTCTTTTCCAACGCTCTACCTTTTAAATCAAAAGCATGGTGGTGGAGGGTTTTTTTTTTAGAAAAGTACCCTGCCGTTGCTTTTAAGAGTTCTCTGCCCCTTCCTTGGTCTTCCTCCCCCCATTTTTTTCCCCCTTAGGATATTGCTTAAACCTTAAGTTGCTGTTTCCTCACTTTAAAGCCAAGGCAATAATTAACTTTTTGCTCCACTCCATGAGAAGTTGGCTTTCTCAGTGTTAAGCCTTTGTTTTGAATTTGGATTTTTCAAGCAACAGAATAAAAAGCAAGCGAGCATGTGTGTGTGTGGGGGGTATTTTATACTTTGTTTACTTCTGTACAGAACATGGAGAGAAGGGAAACTGCACTTGGCTGGGTGTAAAATGCCAGTAGAAACATCCTGCAGTGAGATCATGCTTTGTCTGCAAACTGCCAGAATATAAACCATCGGCAAGCCAAGATTTGCAGAAAATGTAAGACAGGAACATTGGGTGTAAGGCTTTAGAGCAGTGTTTCTCAACCTTGGGAACTTTAAGATGTGTGGACTTCAACTCCCAGAATTCCCCAGCCA